AATAATAAAAAATAGTGTTTCAATAAATTAAATTGATAATTAAATAAAAATATTAAAACGTGTGGGTTGTATATTATGGAATTGATACTGCTCAAATAAACAAAACCGACACTGTGTATTTTTTGATAATTTATTTTCAACCTCCAAGTTTTATTTTAGATGATTTTATCCTAATTGAAAGTCAATTAATTTAAATTTTTTAAGCAAGTTTGCAATTGGAAAAATAAAAATAAAAATTAAAAAGACACCAAATATGGATGGTGTATCAAAAATTATGTGAAAAATATATTTAGGTTCTCAAATTTTAAAAACAACACAAATTATATAATTTAAATCTCTTAAAATTTAAATAAAATCATTTTTATATAAAAAATTATTTGTATTATTTTTCAGTTTCTAGGTAAAAAAAAAGAGAAAAGTCACTGGTTTTCAATAATAAAAAATAAATAAAACTAACACGATTTAAATTTTGTGTTGTAAAACATGTTTTTAGTATTTTAAATTAATATATTAATTTATGAGTATTCTAACATCACTGACGTTAATGTTAGTGATGTGTTTTTAAATTAAAATGATTTGAAAATTAAATTTTTTAGATAAAAAAACCCTACCCCACGTAATCAAATCGAGTCACAGGCAAGGTTTTCTATAATATTTTTGTAATTATTGGCATCAAAATTCATTAGCCAGCAGCTTGACTGCCTTTTCTACCGTCATAAATAGCAACATTGATAAAGTTGCTACACAACTTCTTTGCTTTCATGGAAGCCATGGTTTCAGCGAGTGTTTTAGCAGAGCATCTATCCATGTTTTTTTCTTCTAGCAATATTATTCTTACTTTCCATTGTCCTAAAACACAAATCTTCCCTGACTATTCCACGAGGGCCAAATTCATGGCCACTTGTAGGGAATGAACTTCAAATGGGAAACAAGCCCCATACTGTTCTTCAGGTTGATGGTCCACTCACGTCCTCCGACTAGGGACTCAACTTGTTGTGGTAGGGTCTTCTCGGAAAGCAGCCTCATAACTCCTCAAGACCCACGACAGAAAACTCTCCGGCCGGTGTGTCCCTAACATCCCATTCGCTAAGGACCCCAAACTGAATGGGGGCTCCATAGCTTGGACGGTTGAGTGCACTGACCGATTGAAGTTCTTTCATTCCCGGATGAGAAATGAGCTACTTTTTAGTCATTATATTTTTAATTAAAATTAAAAAAATACTAAAGAAAAGGAGAAATTACTATCCAAAGGACATTTCACATAAAATCATCTTTAATTTAAATTTTTTTAAAACTAAACATTAAACATAATGTTGTCTTTTCATAGAAGGAGAAGGAGAAGTTACTGACCAAACATACATTTCATTATTTATTAAAATAACAAAATTATCTCTGATTAAAAATTTAAAAAAAACTTTGAATTAAGTATTAGAAGTAATATTGTTCATTCACCGAGATGTATTGTCTTTTATAAATTATAGAAGGTTAGATTAATCATTTTATTTTTTATTTTACATTAAAATTAATAATTTAATTTTAAAATAAAAAAATATAATACCTATTACTAAAGCATTTTGATTTCATTATATATATATATATATATATTAAATATATGAAATCATTGTGTCCTTAAAATCACTAAATAGAATATAATCTCATTTAATACTTCAAAATGACTAAAAATATTTCTATGATTAAAAAAACATAAAAGATTTTCTACATCTAAATTCCTAGCCTAGTTGGTGAAATCTACCTTAGCATGATTATGTTTTTTTTGTGGGTCCAATAAAGATTCCATTTCAAAAGGATCGAAAATGACAAGTAATATTGATCATCACTTTTCTATTGATCATCACTTGCTTATAAATAATAATAATAATAATAAAAAACAAATAGGGTTGGACAAGAAGTTTCAATAAATCACATGGTTAATTCTGTACCGCATGCTTGCCATCAACTCTACTTCCATGGCGATTAAAACTTATTTTTATCTGATATCCTTATTTTCTTCCTGAATTTTAATTTCAAAAAATTATGAAAAAAAGTAATTAAATGCTGTAATAAGTTGACGAAATGATGGGTCCTTTCTCTAAATTTAGAAACTCACACACACACACACATATATATATATATATTCAAACTAATAAATTAATAGTGTTTGGTTCAAGTTTTATTTTTTAAAATAAAATTAACTTTTTAATAGACCAATCTTAAAAGACCAGATTAGTTAGGATGAGGTGAACTACTGGATTTCGGGGTTTATAAAAAAATAAATATATTAAAGATGATTGCATGACTTGGGAGGATTAATCATTTCTCTTGGAACAGTTTGTCAAAAACAAATAAAACACTAAAAACATTCTGATGCTGGCTGAGTGGTCTAAGAATAAATGCCGACTTGATTGAGGCTTAGGCCAAACTAGGTTTTCAGAGCACAGTGTACAGGATCCAAGGTCGCTTGTTCTAACCATGAATGAAACCTAATCTATATGTATAGTCAAACCTAATCATTAAAAATTAAAAAAAAAACACCTATGATTTTTTTTTAATTATAATTTTCTGTTGTAAATGACCAGTTGGTTCAATTGATGGCCTAGTGCCCTTGTTAGGCCAAGCCTGAAACCAAATTTGACAATCCCATTATTAATCTATGCTGGGAAAAGACAAGAATATAACCAAATTCATATGTTACAATTCTCAATTCTTTTCTCTCTTTTTTCACTTAAAAATATGGCCAACCATTTAACAAAAATAAAAATAAAAATATCACATAAACACACAATATAACGAATTTTTATATGAAAAATCTTGGTGTGGAAAAAATTAATAGAAATATAGTCTACTCAAACTCTTTCTCCAAATCAAATAATACGATCATAAAATTCTTTTAGAACTACAATAAAAAATATATATTAAATCACCAAATTTATGATCATCAGTTGGATTTCATCGAAAAAAAAGCTTAAATCTCACTATTAAATGTTTTGAAAATACTAAAGTTTCTTATCTAAGCTTAAAGCTTGTTATCATGAATAACATATCAAAATATTATTTTAATTAAAAAAAATATTATTCGATTAAGGCATAAACATAAAGAACATGCCTTTTCTTTACCCTCTTATTTTTGGGCCATAAGCTCTTACTCTTCGGCGCATGCAGAGTGAAGGATAATAAGCTTTTACAATTTAAAACTCATGAAAAACAAAAAAAGACATCTTAAATATTGAAAAAAATTTAAAATTTAAAATTTTATTTTTTAAGTTTTTTTTGTCAAAAAGCTATTTCAACCTTTTGTATAGAAAAAAAACTAGAGAACCCTAATAATACTTGATAGAAAGAGAAAAAAACTAGAAAAGTATCATAATAAAGATTAGGAAAATAAAATGGAAATAAATAAAATTAACTAAAAAAATATTTATTTTTCTAAAAATGTTCTAGCATTAGTTTCTCTGGATTGAAAGAAACTCGTTTTTAAATTTAATTTTTAATTAAAAATTATTCTTTATTAAGAATATCTTATGTATGAATCACCTTAATATGAGTTCCTAATATTTTTATATTAATTACTTTATAATGGATATCTAACACTACTTTTAGATAGATAACTTTATTATGGATCCCTGACACAATAATTTGGTGTGAATTTACGCATCAAGGATTCCACCATCAGGAATTTAAATGATAATAATTGATATAGATAAAAATAATATGCTTGTCCTGTTATGTAATTTCTTTAGCTATGGTTATTTTGTAACATAAAATAAAGTAAAATAATCATAAAAAAACTATTGGATTTTAATATCAATTGACACAAGTGACGTGAATGATAAGAGATTTGTTGTAAGTCAAAATTTTTTAAGACTAAAAACACCATAGATTAAGAAAGACTCTCAAAATATTTAATTTTATTTTTTTTTGTTCTCTTTGTTAAAAGGCTATTACAACCATTTATATAAAAAAAAACTAGAAAACCTTAATAATATTGAATTGAAAAAAAATAAATTAGAAAAAAATATCCCTTTCAAATAGAAAAAAAACTAGTAAAGCATTATAATAAAAAAATAAGAAAATAAAATAGATAGAAATAAAATGATATTATTTCCATCTACAAAATGGTGGAATATCTATAGAAGATTTATTGGTTGAGAAGAGTGTGTTGTTGTCCTAGAAAGATAATGTAATATTAGAAAGGAATCGTCTCGCTTATTTCAATTGAAAAAAAGAAGAAGAAAAGAATGGAAAAGACTACATATGATATGAGTAAATTCAGAACCAGCAGCTCTAATCTCTGCCATGGTACTGTGTCAAATGCCAAAATGAACTAATTAACAGCCACATCCTCTTTGCAGACACAGCAATTCTGCGAGAGAAAGAAGAAGAGAGGGGTCAGGTATGCCTTCAAGTACAAAGGCACAGCAAATAACTGACAGCTGCTAAACAGTAATCAACATTGCCAAGCAAGAATAAATAACTTAACCTTGTTATCTTCGAACCATTTCTTAATGCAATCCTCATGATATTGGTGTGCACAGGGCAAAGTCACCAAGCGATCCCCCCTCTCGTATTCCATTTTGCATATCACACACCTAGATGCAGGCATGAAAGAAGAATTAAAGAGGATAATAACATAATAATAATTTAGAAGCTATTTCTTGGGAAGGTTATAGGTATAGGTAGATATATAGACATTTATGAATTGTGTTTGGTTGTCGTCCTGGGAACTGAACAAATTTCCTAGGATAAATACAAAAAACAGAAATGTATTTAGTTAAAAATATAAAAGTGGAGACAAAATAAATCTATTTCGGAAAAAATTTAAAGTGAATTAATATCATTTCAAAACCGGAAGGACCTGTCCTCTTTTCAGACAATAAGCAAAACCTACATTGATGACATTGTCATGGTCTTTTATTTGCACATGTGTGTGTCTGTGCCCCTGCTTAACACTTGCACATAAATGTTGTGCTGAATAGAATTTATAATTGAAGCTAATAATTCTCTTACTCTGCATCTCCTGAATTGCTTCTTGTGCTTGATGGACTGTGCTTGTGAACAGGCAATCTAGAGATTGCTTCCCTAGACAGACCTTTGCTTACACTACCCATGGATTCTTCGAATCGATGCATTTCCTGAACAAAATAACAGAATGTCAAAGTTATGTTCATATTATGAAGATCCCAGCAAGATCTTGTGAATTAGATTATAAGAAAATGCCAAGAATTCTCGAACGTCAATAAATGTGGAAGACCGACCATTTCACTTTGATTTCTGTATCATTTGAAGCCACAAATTGCCAAGTTTTGACCAAAATCCCAACAGAAAGCAGAGTTTACACTGATTTCTTATTGAAAACTTAAATGCAATAAACAACGTAAACTATTGTAATGTAATGTAGAAAAGCTTGTTTGATGGAGCATACAACTAGAATTTCAAAGGAAAAAAGAAAAGAAAACTAATGGAATCTGCTAAAACAAGTCAGCTCAGAAATTTTACGAAAGCATGCAGTTCCCGTTCGAAAGCCTACCTCATAGGACATATTATCTAAATCAACTTCACCGCCAACCCGTGTTTGAACATTAGTCTCCTGATCGGAAAAAGTAAGAAAATAGAAAAATTAAACTCAGTAACACACACACACACACGCTGCACTTGAAGAAATATAGAAGAACAAAGAGAAAAGAGGAATATGAGTTCATTATCTTACTCGAATAGAAGTTCCTCCACGATTAGCAGAACCTCCATGATTAGCAGAAGTTCCTCCACTATTAGCAGAAGTTCCTCCAAGATTACCCTCCCATGCAGAATCTGTAGAAATTCACTATTTTGGTCATATAAATAAGGATAAACCTAATTAACACTGGAAGTGGTCCAGTTGTTAAAGTCGTTTCATTATCAACTAAAGCAAAATTTAGAGACCACAAGCTAGATGAATATGCTTATTCAATTGAAAACCTGTAGAAATTTTACTCAAGTAAGTTGATTATAACAATCAGTTGAATCCATCACCAGGTCAAATCACGAAGTTTATACAGATAATAGTTTGAAACAGTGAGACTTCTGCCAGTCAAATGCTTGTCAGGGGTGCAGGAAGAAAATAACTTTGATTCTTACTGAAAAATTCAGGAAGAGAACAAGACTTTCATTTTAAGGTTAAGGATAATCTAACAGGGTTTCAAATTTAAACTCAATGAGATTTGAGAATGCCAGATGTTTCATTGCCATGCTTTTCCGAACACATCGTGCTGAAGCCTTGGAGCAATTTAATCGCAGTGGAGGGTTGTGAATCCATTCAAAGAGAGCCAGAAAGACAAAAAAATGAAACCATCACAAGTTCCTACAAGGAAAATATATTATGGTGTGTGGTTACAAAGGAATGCTGTGATCCTGCGACTTGATCTCAGTTATGATTTGCAGACTCCAAATATTGCAAGTCCAGGCCCTTGGCCAGCACCCAACTCCATTCCATTCACATTCTGTAATTTTCAATTTGCATAACTTTGATTTTCTATTTGTTTATATTGAGCCTAAAGAGTCATCTCCAGGACTGTAACTAGTTGCACAATAAATATCAGACACATTTTTGTAGATTTTAAACCTCACAGCATGAGATTTGTGAGTCTTTAGCAAGCGGACTATGGAGCGAGGAACAAAATCTAGCACTTGCCAAGAGTTATCCAAGAAGCTTAACCATTAACTAAATATGATTCAATCGAAGGTTCAAAATTTTTACCTATTATACTTCCAAAGGCTCCATCATATAAGGCCATTGTCCCCAAGCTATCCTCCGCCTCCTGCAGCTCTCTAGCTATAGCTGCATCATCATCAGCTACATATGAATTGTAACTCTGATGCAGTTCTCTAGCTATAGCTTCATCATCTTCCAAATACGAACCATAGCTTCCATGCCATGGTTGTCCCATCATAGCTCCTGAGAAGTGCCCCTAGTTACTCCTTTTATAGCATGATAAATGGCTCTAATTATATTAATTTTAGCAGTTTGTATTCACTAATACAGAAAAAAGGAGGTCAATTATATTATAGTCACCATAAGGACCATGGATCCTAAAGGGCTTTCAAGTTTCAACTTCTAAACATGGTGTCGAGGCTACTAGATGGCTTGCTGTCACAGCATTTTTTACCCTACCTTTAGATTAAGGATATTATGTAAGGCTTAAAGTGAAGGTTTTTCTATTTCATTCAAAGGGATCCGCAATAAACTGCATAAGTCCTATTAAAATTCTTAAGCAGGTCCAACTCAATGCCAAGAAGTAAGAACATTGACAGTTGCTCGTTACGCTGTGTGGTCGCAGTGGAAAACTCCGATGAGGCATCAAGAGTCACTGTTTCCATATAATCACCTTTGTTCTATAAGAGTCCCTAAAATTTTGTATCCTATTCAGTTTTTCTGTTAAACCAGATGGGTATAGCCAGTAAAATAGCACAGTGCTGTGAGCTCTGCTCTTGAAGATGTCTAGTCCACAAAATATAGTACTAGGCTGCCCAGATTATTTGAAAGCTATGAACTCTTTTCATGAAGATCAGTATCTAATCTTATTCAACCATCCCGAACAGAATATGGTAAAAAAAGTCGGTTCTAATTTTATAATGATTTTTGATTATCTTGAGATGTTACGCATCTGTAAGCTCCAGAATAAATTCTTTGGCATTCCTAGTTGTGCACTAAGTACTGTAGATTTAAGATTATAGAGTTAGGAACAAAACTTTGCCCATAGTTAACCATAAAAGGTAAGCAATTACAAGATAAAGATTAAATAAAAGTTGGTGATTCTAACTAGTTGTGCTTCCTGAGTCTTCACCATATATTGACATCTCCTGTAGTTGTCTAGCCATAACTTCATTATCCAGCCATGAACCTCCAGCCGCCTGCCCTGAGTGCTGTCCCTGGTTTCTGCTTTCATAAGAACCACGATAATAGGATGCAATATTGCCACCGTCTTCGTATGATTCATACTGGGAGTATGTGCCCTGCATCATTGTTAGTCAAAGAAGAAAAAAACTTAAATTCACAATCATCAAGAACACAACTGCCCACATAATTAAGGTAATGGAAATGTTAAACTAAGAATCTGATGTACATTGTGCCGATAAGAGTCTGAACTGCGGTCAGGATCAGCTAAAAACCGTTCAAAAAGTCTAGATTCAAGGGTATCCCAATGATTTGAATCGTTTCCATATTGATTTCCCTTCATGATTAACACACAACAGATTGGAAGCAATCTTATTTTACTCCACAAAATTGAAGATCCCTTCTCGTACTTCACCTTTCAAATCAAACTTCTCCTTACACTTATATGGGCACGAAATTCAATACCCTCATGAGAAAAACTATTTATTATCATTAACAGCACGGATCATTTATGATAGAATCAACACCATATCACAACCAAATATCCTCTTAATTCTCACTTTCATGCTTCAAAGTCATATTCTTTGTCATAATTAACCACAAAAGTTAAACACTTTAAATCTTTTCCAGGTTATGCCAAAGTTAATAATGAAATAAATGGTTACTAGTAAATCAACAAGTAATTATCTTGAACATAAAAAACAACAAAATCTCTTCCTGAATCATTCCCATAAAGCATAAGGATGTTCATGAAAGAATAATTATTATGTTTTAAGGCATTCAATAAATAAGATCAAATCTTTACAGATTGTAAGCATGGAAAAGAACAATAAATGACAGTAACTCAAGATTATAAGAAGCAAGATTAAATCTTTACTACATTTTCCTAACTTTATATCTTGAAAATAAAAAATGATAAATGGATTCTTGAATTGAGCATTCAAGATAACTCCTTGAAACAATGTTCTCCTTTGTTTTTTTTTTTAATTAAAATTATAATTTCAGCAAGCTAATATAGCTCAAGTAATAATAATTAAGTAGTAAGGTGTTAATTAAAATTATAATTTCAGCAAGCTAATAAAAAAAACACCCTCTTAATTAAAAGTTTTTTAAGTTTGAAACTTATACAAACCTGCAGTATTTTTTCAAAATATAATTTATATTATTTTTCAAAACACCCTTTTAATTAAAAAATTTTTAAGTTTGAAACTTATACAAACCTGCAGTATTTTTTACTTAATTTTTTATCAAATAAATAAAAATAATAAGATTTGAATTCATGAATGCTTAGTTATTAAAGTTCTGATACCATATTATAGAAATATCTTAACTTAATAATTTAAGTTGTTAAATAAAATTTTAAGATATAATTTATATTATTTTATAATAAAAAACAGCTAAATAAAACATTCTTAATTTAAATCTTATTTGCATTTTGCATTTCACGTATAAATATCAAGTGGAATCTCGAGTTGAAGAAAAAACAAATTAGCATCATTTAAGTGTCTACTGGGTATCTCCAGATGATCAATTTCTTGGACTGCGACAAATGCATTATATGGCTGTAGCATTCATTAAATGTTGTGTGGTGGGCCTAGTTGTAATTAATAATAGCATTATGATTATCGTTTCTCGTTTGATTTTGTTTTAAATATTAATTCAGGTGAATGCACGCAGGATCATCAATTTCATTGGAGATCAGAGAAAGACTTGGACAATGGCATCTCAAGCCCCTTCAATTTACGCCAAAAAATCCACAAACTGATCCATCAAATATTGAGACATTCACCGGGGGCAAGGAGAGATGATTCAAAAAAAAGAAGAAAAGAGAGATAGAAAAGAAGGCCTATTGGACTGGTTAGAAAAAGGAAAACAAAAAACAAGGGCTCTTCAAACATGGAAGGGCTTCGACATTCCAGTTTATTTTTTTATCAATTATTTTTTGTTTTAAAAAAAATAATCAGTCATGTGATTGGTTCCATCAAACTTTCAAAGATCATTCCACAAATATTATCAATTAGATCTGTCCAGGAGATTACCTGTAATTGATATGTAAATTAATTCTTTTTTGTAACATTTGAGATTTGTGTACATCATAACTTCTACTATTTTAAATTAAATTTAAACCAGCAAGCTATGCTTGGCATTTTTTGAATGAGAATAAACCCCCTCAGGTTAATGGCAAGGTCTTCTACTGTTAATGTATTTTTTTCTAATTATTGGCAGCAACAGTCCGTCGTCAGTAGCTATCTTGATTGCCTCTTCCACCATTATAAATAGCAACATGGTTAATGTTGTAACACACCTTCTTTGCGTTAATTCACTGAAACAATGGTTTCATTAAGTGTTATAGCAAACTCCTATCCATCTTTTCCCATGTTGTTTCTTCTAGCAATATTATTGTTACTTTCCCTTGTCCTAAAACACAAATCTTCCAAAGTCCCGGCCATTCCACCAGGGCCTAAATCATGGCCTATTATAGGAAATGTACTTCAAATGGGAAACAAGCCCCATATTTCATTGACCAAATTAGCACAGGTTTATGGTCCCATCATGTCCCTCCGACTAGGGGCTCAACTTGTTGTGGTAGGGTCTTCTCGGGAAGCAGCCTCCGAAATCCTCAAGACCCATGACCGAGAACTCTCCGGCCGGTGTGTGCCTCACGCATCCTTTGCTAAGGACCCTAAGCTGAATGAGGACTCCATAGCTTGGACGTTTGAGTGCACCGACCGATGGAAGTTCTTTCGTTCCCTGATGAGGAATGAGCTATTCTCTTCTAAAGTCGTTGATGGACAGTCAAGTACAAGAGAAACCAAGGCCAAAGAAATGATAGATTTCTTGAAAAAGAAGGAAGGGGAGGTAGTCAAAATACGAGATATTGTGTTTGTTTATACATTTAATGCGTTGGCGAACATTTACTTATCAAAAGACTTGATAGATTATGATCAAACTGGAGAGTGTCAAAGAGTGTGTGGGCTTGTAAGGGAAATGATGGAGTTGCATACAACTCTAAACATATCGGATTTGTATCCTCTACTAGGTAGTTTGGATCTTCAAGGTGTTAGTAGAAAGTGTAATGAGTGCGATAGTAGAATTCAAGAATTATGGGGGAGTATCATCAAAGAACGCAGAGAAGGCCGCAACGATACAGGAGATGATGATAATTCCAGTGAACGTAAAGATTTTCTTGATGTTTTGCTTGATGGGGAGTTTTCTGATGAGCAAATCAGTTTATTCTTCCTGGTATATATGATCTCTATCTTATACACTCATAATACATTCCTTTTGTTGAGATATTAGTAATATCATTTGCATTATTTTATGGGAGCAGGAACTCTTAGCTGCAGTATCGGATAGTTCTAGCTCAACAGTCGAATGGGCGATGGCAGAACTGATGAGGAATCCACAAGCAATGAAACAACTTCGCGAAGAACTTGCAGGAGAAACTCCTGAAGACTTGATAACAGAATCAAGCCTGGCAAAATTCCCTTACTTGCATTTATGTGTCAAGGAAACTTTGAGACTACACCCTCCAGCACCACTACTAATACCTCACCGAGCAACAGAAGATTGTCAAGTTTTGGACTACACCATACCAAAGGACACCCAAGTTCTTGTGAATGTATGGGCAATTGCAAGAGACCCTGCCAATTGGGAAGACCCTTCGTGTTTTAAACCTGAGAGATTCCTGAATTCTGATCTGGATTACAAAGGAAACCATTTTGAGTATTTGCCGTTTGGAAGTGGAAGGAGGATTTGTGCTGGGTTACCAATGGCTGTTAAGAAAGTTCAGCTGGCTTTGGCCAATTTAATCCATGGCTTTGACTGGTCTCTACCAAATAACATGCTTCCTGATGAACTAGACATGGATGAGAAGTACGGTATCACATTGATGAAGGAGCAACCTCTTAAGCTTATACCGAAATTGAGGAAATGATCATAACTTCTTGTGGTTGATGATGGAGCAACCCTTTAATTTCCCCGTGTTTTCTATTATCTTGCGTGATTGTTTCCTGTGCTGTGTTGTGGCCCATGAAGCATGTTAGGCTATTT